TTGGTATAGTGATAATAATCCATGAAAGCTGACACACGCAAACATAAATTCATCAATATAAATCCCGAAAAACATGCAGATAGTATTCCAAATTTATGATTTATTCAATTTCAATTTCTTGGAGTTTAGTAACAATTTTGATTATTATGTTTTTTGTGGTAGATTATTCTTGTTGAATGTCCGTTTGTCTTGAAGAAGAGTACTAAATTAACAGTCCTAATATTTTATTGACATGAGTAATTTAAGAACGACTGTAGCATGTGTAAGGTAACACATCTGATGGAAAAGTGCCGTTGAAAGCACATAAGGGATTAAGATTTCTAAAAAATTAATGTTATTTAAGTTCAGCTTAGATAGATGTTAGGCAATATTCATGGATAACTATACTTGAGAAGCACAATACAATTCAGAAAACACTGGGAAACAAATAAACGTGAAGACGCAGTTATGCAAAAACCGGTATACAATACTGCACATGAAAAGCAGCCGTAAGAATAGTTACACGGTAATATTTGGAGTGGGATCGATGATTATCTTAAACAGAGGACAAATTCTAAGAGCACACTATGTTAGTGAAGAACCTGTAGGCGGAAAAACTGGAATTTTTCCGAATATTCCACACCATCTTTATTCATCGTTCATGCAATTTTATTATATCGATATATCCATGAATCCAGTGTTATTTGCTTTCTCAGTAACACGTAAAAATCCAAATCCCACTCTCCAATGTACATCTAGGAAATTTCATGAGATTAATCAATTTATTCTAACAATACCATTTTACTCGTGTTTCCAATATACTACTCATTAAAAGTAGTGAGAAAAGAGGACAAAGCTCAACTTCATTTGATTAGATACTTGATATTGAACTACTCTTGTTCTTCATAAACGTAGTAAGCTCTGTAGCTAACGCGTAAAACAGTTCTTAGAGAATGAAAGACGATGTACACGTTTACTGTCCCAATGAAATTGAATTACACAATTAAATTAACTGAAAACCAACAACATAATGGAAAGCAGTAGTGATATTCAGCCAGTTTTCAGGTAAATACAATAAGTCTATTTTTTTAAAGATACAGTGGTATAAACTGAAATGCATTTTGTTATCAGTGTGTTGTAGAGCTGTAGTTCATTGACGCATACTCATTTTTAGGTTGGCGTCGCATGTTATATGCATTACGCATCACATCAGAACGTGGTTGACGAGAACGACTTTGTTGGACACCATTGTTTGTTCTCACTATGCGACTACGGCTACTTGAATTGTATGCTAACGAATTACGAGGTCGGCTGTTTTCCTCTGGGGACTGATGATAACGATCGGGTCGCTCACCTGTTGGACGTCGAGATATTCTTTGAGAAGGACGTGGTCTGGAATTTCTATCCCCGTACGTGGATCTCTGGTGCTCTGCAAAGTTCGACCGGCGTCCAGATTCACCATGATTTAGTCTAAAAGAATAATTTCAGAATACTTGCGTCGATATGTCCCAAATATAGAAAAATTCTAGACTTGTAATGTTTAAAATGACTGAGACAGGCAATTCAGAGATTAGGAAAAACGAATACACATGGTCTTAAAAATTTAGTTTTTAAAACCAATCATACAAACTCGATAGTAAATATGACTAAACTGTACCGTGTTATGCACAGATGTCACTTTTGTATAAGAAGTATGTAATACAAAACGAGAATACTGAGAAAACTGACACTATTGGATTTCAGTAACTGGACCTAAAAAATGTTTATCTATAGCTCATAAGTTTTATGGGTTCAAGTGCGTGATGTAAATTTATAATAAATTCTAACTACCTTAATGAAACCATGGATCAATAATCTAGACAGTATGTTACTAACCACTGAATGAGGAGTTTGATTCCCGTTAAATTCAAGCTGATAATAGTTGTCTGGTGCACACTGGAAACTTAGTATAGGAACATAAACGCAAATACTAGACGAACAATGATATCAGCCTAATATTAACTAAATAATGGCAATGTGTTCATTTTTTAGCGTGATGAAAGTTATTTTCATGTTGAATTCCCTATCAGGTAGGAAGCTTTGAAAAAAATCAGGTTTCTTTAAGAGTACTTTTTAAGCTAGATGATTCGAAATTCCGCACAAGAACAATGCTTAAGATCTGTAGTTATGAAACTGATGTAATAATATCGCAAGATGAAAGAATTGCTTTCTTATCGCTGCTGTCAATTATAGAACACTTCCAAGTCACACTCTTGAATTCGCGAACGATAAGTAGGCAATGAAAAGATGATTCAGTGACAACAGCTTCTAATAATTATTTTCCAAATCCAAAGCATATTTAGTAAAACTGCAGAAAGTTTTTTCAACTGCATGATAACTACAATAACGATGAGATGAAATGGTCTTAGTTATGAATGAAAATTCACGTTCGCTGAGATATAAAAACATTATCAGCGCGAAAAACCATGAAACATAATGTTAACGCTAATGTACAGCAGAAATTCAGTGTCTTGTCTTGTTTAAGTTTTGGACGATAGAACTGAAAACATGTTGAAAATGTTGCATATAGGATCCAGTTTCATTTTGTTTATGTTGAGTAACTATTGGATTCTGAAATTTTGAGTTGTATATGTTGTCATCAAACTGGCATCTGTAAGATCCTCTTGATTTGATCTTGCATTTTCCTCAGTCGTATGTTATAAATTAGAAAGTTGGCCTTTACACTTAAAATAATTGTTGAGGTAAGATTTGCTATCCTCTGGATATTTAAATTTGTTTGAAGAACTGGCTTTTTACGTCCAATCAGAACATGTCAAAACTCCACATGAGGTATAGCGTCTTTCCTTTTGGTGAATGTTGAAGTAGGAAACTGCCATATGTACACTTATTGAGGACGAAACATAATCCATTATTCGGCAACTGTATCATAGGTTGTATACTAAGTACATGGAACATGCAGGAACGAGATGTTAACTAAGTATTGAAGATATCAGAAGGGATGCTTGATGTGATATTGTTAGTCACATGCTTGACTTCGTGCCACGACACCGACCGAAAATTTGAAGACTAGTTGTAAGATAGATAGTTTTACGTAGCATTGAGTTGTATGCAGAAGTTTAGTATCTCTTTAATTTGACTACTGATTATTGAGGACTTTGTGCGACGTGACTCAGATGCGTTCATTTAGTTTTTTGTTACTATTGAGTCCCAGTGTTGCTTCATATATACCTTTCCATTTTGTCATTCTATATCGTATTCTCGACATTTAGTTTTTCGCATTACCATTGCTACTAAGTGATTATGGTTCTTTTGCCATTTAGCTTGTTAATTTCTGCTTCAATCTACATTTTTGCCCGACTCTACATTAATTATGACTGACAGACACAGCTATTCCATAGTATACAAGAATATCAACTTCTACATAGAGTTGATGTTTACCAAATGAGATGATTTAGACGTTTTATATTTTATGTATTCAGCTTGTTAACCATTCTCACAGTAATCATTCTAAAAGCGAAAAATTATTTTGTATTCTTTGATTTGTAAACAATCTTGCAAAAATTGTTAAAATATAGTGAGTAAACTTATAAATATTTTATTGGTTTGGACTCATCAGTATTTCATAAAAATTACGTAAAAATCAATTGTGGTGTTTTAAGAGTTCTTGCATTCCCATTTAACATTCATATCTGTTTGGAATTCATCTAGATTCATTATGAAATTAATTCATAAATAAAAAGTAAGATGCCTTAGATACAATGCGTAAGTTTTCTCTCTCTCATCTGAAACGTTTTACGCAGATGGAGGTTAACAAAATGGAAATTTACAATAAAATAGAGTAGATTAGCATACATATTATTGAGTTTAATATGACACCATGCCTTATCCATCCCACTCATTTAAAAGCCATGTTATGGCAACCTACATACATTCAAAAGTCTGACAAGTTTAACTGTGATTATGGCTGGCTGACTTAGGTTGTCGCACTATTGTCTTGTATACATACACAAATACACGAAAAGTTTCACAAATCTTGCTATTTTAATTTAAATGTTTTGAAATAAATTTAAACTAGTCAACATGAATGTTGGTTAAGTAATCTGTACATAAGATTTTGACTAGTGTGATTAGATCATTAGGAAAAATGTATTCATTATAACCACCAAGACATGAAGTCAATGGTTGTTGATCATAAATTTATATATGGAAATTTGAGTCTTCGGTGGGAATTTGTTGAGATATTGGAAATCAATCAATGAAAAAATATTTCGTCAACAAAAATTATTGACAATAATTCCATTCAGTATTTCCCGGTCTTAGTATCAATGGGGTGTCATTACATTGTTTTCTTATGAGTAAATCTTCTTAACACACAGAGAGATGACATTTCTTGTGTCCTATTCGAATGATTCTTATGTTTTTGAATTTATTTTCCCTTTTTGTAAGGTTATTGTGGAGTGTTGAGTAGATGAACTGTGTTGGAATTTTAACTTTTTCCTCTACATGTAGTTTCTTGATAACACTGTTCTGAAATTTGTAAAGGACATTAGATACACAGTAACAACAAACTGGATATGATGAGACGATGTTCAAGAACAAGATGAATCCGTTAGAAAAAGTTTTTGCATTTTTTATTCAGTAATCTTCATCTAGATATTTTCAGGTTCTCTGTCTGATGTTGAGTATTTTTTAATAAACCATCAGTATGAGTACAGTACTCCTTATGTATCTTCAAAATGTATGAAGAAACAAACATAAACACTCTTTATATATAAAAAGATAGGTATTTCATTTACGAACAGATGGACAACTGTAGATTAGCTGAAGTTATTTTCATATCCAAAGCTGAAACCAAATCCCGGTTTTTAGTTATTATCAATATCAGTGAACAAGAAAGCTAGAGAAGCACATAATTGAAACGGGGTGCAAATGTACGACAACACAAAGAATACGCAAACCACAGATTACAATATATGCATTAATAATATTTAAGCCATCCTTATTGTACTATGAAAATTTACCGTTTTTCTTTGCCCATATATATTCCAGGTGTAGGATTGTGTGGTCGCTCAGTGTAGCTGTAATCAATGCGAACAATACGATCATGTAGTTCCAAACCTCGAGCGCATGCAGCGCGCGCTGAACGAGCACATTCAATAGACCGAAAATATATAAACGCGAAACCACGTGAACGCCCTGTTGATAGACAATTGAGAGTATGAAGAAACATGAAATGGCATAAGAACGAGATTCTTATCCTTGACAATAGTGGAAACTATTGTGAAGATGATAAACAATATGTACATAAATACTTTTGTCCAAAAAACAACTGAGAAACATTTTCACAACTGTTTACGCAGGATGGGTTATTAGTGTTTGGCAGCTAATTTTACTCAAATACTTTAAAAAAGGGCAAACAAGACCAACTATCCAAAAACTAGTTAACAAACACCGAAATTTGGATATGAAATGTCACTTATCACACCTATTTTGTTTTTATTCATTTAACACATATATTGTGATACAACTGGGCATAAAATAGTATGCACCATACTTTAATCTGACTATATGGTTGGAACATCTTGTAAACATTGTATAAGCTAACTATACAGAATAATCTACTTTGACTTACCAGATAAATTATCTTGAACAAGTTTTATCTCCTCTATTTCGCCGTACTTTTTCATTATGTCATACAAATGCCGTTCCTCGGTACGCATAGACAATCCAAAAGCACCAAGTACACGAGATGGTTTGGGAGGAGATGACTCGACTCGACTGTCCATTTTACTACGTTTTTTCGGAACAGGACTAGTGTTTGAATCACGACTGTACCGCGGGTCTTGGCGAAACTTCTCTACATCATGTTTACTACGTCGAAGTTCTTTACTGGGGGAAACATATTCCTTGTTTGGATTGTAGTAGTCATATTCCCTATCTTTTAAATCATTTTCGAAAGGCATTCGTGACTGGAATGGAACATCCCGATAACGTTTTCTTGAAACGGAATTTTCATATCTAAAACGAAGAAAAAATAATACATCATAGACCCTATTCCACGTTAAGTAGCTAAAGCAGTCTAACCAACGATAAGATTAAATAATTCATTTAGAATTATCTACATTTCCCAAACAATGTTCGAAAAGGCATATTTGGTGAAATGTACGGACGGATAACGATAATTCATATAGTGAACATAACTTATGGGCGATATTTATTCGAGTTATTAAAGATCTCAGTTAAGTATGTAGATTATAGCTTACGAATTTACATATGAAAATTACGTTTTATAATTATCACCTAAATATATATCCATATGAGATCAACAAAACAATAAGTACAAAAATATTTAACTCATCAACTGCAAACAAGAACATGTACCAGACTATGAATCATATCCATTATCTGAGTTCCGATGGTACTTCCCAGTCATCCAGACATCTGTTAAAATATTAGTTGTTAAAAACGAGGTCTATAACACAACGTAAACTAGACTGTAGAACTAGGTTTTTTCGTTTGCTCAATCTGAGTTTCATTCAAAATAATTGTTACAGTGTCAAGTGAGACAAAAGTAAGACCGAGTTGGATCTAACATAAAAATTTAAGTTGTTTTGGCGAAATTTCAATTGGATCTATAACCGATACACCAGAGAAAAAAACGAAATCTTTGATCAAAGCTTAATAGACTTAGGTAAAGAGCCACAGTGACAGCCAAACAAATGCACTGTCTACAGACTACAAATTTCGTTAATTTCTTATCCAGCTCCTGACATTATTAATAATTTTAGTAGCAATAATTCAACAATTATATTTAAGTTTCTATGTAATACTACGAGCTACATCGATTACGATTGAAATACACTGGATATACAAACTTTTACTAGTGTGGTATACAAATTCAGGATGCTGGTTAAAGACTGTATCCGAACCAATGAAAGCTGCAAATCAACATACGTTATCAAATAATGTAGTTTGAATTATTTGGACGTGATAACATACAGTATGACTCATAATAAATGAGAACTATGAATGACTGCACTTACGCATGTTCAGCATGGCGAGAACCGTTACGATAGTCCCGTCCACTATCTCGATTCGAATATATCGTTTCATAGGCCATTTAGTACTTAGCTTTTAAGAGTATAACTGAGGGAAAAAGGGGAAACACATTTTAAAAATGTCAGTGCACTTTAAAAAGGCATCAAACTAATTTGCCGACGTAATTAACCTAATTACCTTAGCAACTAACCCATAGATTGGTGGTTGCGTTAAGATTCTCGATTAAAACCAAGAAAACCAACGACTGTTTCAGTTATAGAAGAACTTCGATAATTACTAAAGTACAGTGTATTCAATTCGAATAACTTTGATCAACAGCGACTTATTGTTTGCTAACGCTTGTGAGACTGATTACTCTGACATTTTCCCCACATTAAGTCTATTTACACCCATGGATTATGAACATATGACGGTAAATGTATTCACCCTGAAAATTTAATTTAAATTAGCTAAATCACCAGGTACTTGAATACGAGCTACTGTGTAAGGGCGAATGATACTACTCGATTAGCTAAAATAAGGTCGGTGGAGTGGGGTCTGAACCAGGAACTTAATGAGTGAAGATGAAATGGCCTAACCACTAGATTACTGCTCCTGCATCCTGAAGTTCATTGAACCAGGAGATTGTATAAAACCTGATTTCACATAACTTAGGTAGTAGAAAATGAAACTATTTACGTCCCAGACTCAAACGTAACTGAAACACTGAAACATGTGTTTAAGCCGACGGAAGTATGACTACGTGGGAATTATACGGCCATAAAAAGGAAATTCTAGGGGGGAAAATGGGAAGCCAAAACTGAGAGCGGGTACGAAATAGCTGGTGACAAAAATTTCACTAATCTGAAGCTTACACAATAAACTAATCTAGAATGAATGTTACAGAACAGCTCTTATCTGTAAACAAATGTAAAAGCCAATAATTCAAAGCCTTTAACCTCTGGTAGCGTCTATTCGCGGACTCCAACCAAGTAGTCTACCAATAGTTAACGAATGATCACGTATGCTAAATGGAATAAAGTTAGGTGCCCGTAACTACATATGTTTTCAAAAATTTACGACTTTGTATTTAGAAAAGAGCAAGAACAAAGATTCTAGCAGAATAGCATGAATTCATTTTATTTCGTAGGTTCTCGTCAGCTGCTTACAACCTGTGATATTTAAAAATCATAATTACATAATGGGTTTAAATTGCTAACTGAATATTGTAAATATATACCTAATGTGAAAGAACATTCTACAACATTAATTGTGACAACAGTTCAAAAGTGTGTTAGAAACAATGATGGAAGTCAAGATTTCTCCGAAATCATGACGCCGATACCCCTTCTGACAGCCAAAGCAGCAATTAACATAGGTACATGGAATGTCTGGACAATGTGGTAGACTGGGAGGTCCAGTTAAACAGCTATGAAATAGAAATACAGCCTTCATTCAAAATACTGAGAAACAACCAAGTCACAACAACTCTCAACAAGTTCCAAGTCTTACAAGATCTACTCAAAGAAGAAACTACTGTGAAAAACAACTCGAAATAGATCAAAGCGTTAATTTCAAATTGCCAGGTGTTGGGTCGCGAGAAGCACCATCATAAGGAATAGACCTCTATAGAAAACCAGGACAAGATTCAAGAAAGAAAGAACAAGAAGACAGCAATTAACAACAGCCGATCACGAGCAGAGAAAGTAAAGGCACAAGTTGAACACACAGAAACAAACAAGCAAGTGAAGAGCATCAGAGCCGACAACCAGGAATATGTGGGAGACCTAGCAAAGATAGCGGATAAAGCTGCAAGAGAAGGAAATATGAAACAACTATATGACACAACGATGAACCTGACAAGGAAATATAGTGAAACAAAGATTGGTCGAGGACAAAGAAAGTCAGCCAATCGCTGAGATTCAAAAGCAGAGGAACAGATGCACAGAATACTTTGAGGAACTCTATGATAAGCCAGCTCCACTGAACATCGAAGAAGCACATACAGACCATCCTACATATGTCACCCCACCAACGATCGCAGGAATGAGGATGGCCATCAGACCAATCAAGAATGGGGAGGCAGTGGCTTTTGACAGTATATCAGGTGAAGCACAAAAGTCAGACATAGAAGTAACTGCAAACATGCTTCACGCTCTATTCAGGAAATTTGGAAGGAAGAACAAGTACCGATGGACTGGAAAGGACACATCGTCAAGACACCAAGGGAAGGAGATCTGAGAAAATGCGAGAACTACAAGGGCATCACACTACTGTCAGTACCAGGAAAGGCTTTCAGCAGCGTTGCGAGCCGGATGAAAGAATCAGTAGACGCCCAACTTTGAGATCAACAGCTCGGATTCCGTAAGGATCGGTCGTGCATAGACCTAGTTGCGACACTACGGATCATTGTCAAACAATCTGTCGAATGGAATTCATCACACACATCAACTTCCTTGATTATGAGAAAACATTTGAGTGTGGATAGGACACTATGGAAACTCCTTCGACACTATGATGTACCTGAGAAAATCTTCAAAATCATACGGAATTCATACGACGGACTACACTACAAAGTAGTGCATGAAAAACAGTTGACAGATGTATTCCAAGTGAGGACGGGAGTTAGAGAAGGCTGCTTACTCTTTCCCCTTCTTTATCCTCTGATGGTTGATTGAATTATGAAGACGTCCACATCTGATGGGAAGCATGGAATAAAATGGACATCATGGATGTAACTAGATGATCTGGCCTCTGCAGAAGACCTGGCCATCCTATCACATACACACGAACAAATGCCTCCAAATGCGCTGGTACGGTCAAGAGTGGGGAGTCCGCTCGCCCTCTCGAAATGCTCTCACACGGCCACGCGTATATAGCCTCTGCCAGGGAAGTCCTACTCATTGCCTTATCGTGGCGGGGGTGTTGTTTACGAAAATGAGAGGACGAAAAGCGAATATCCAACGCTCTAACCGGACCCCAAACCAATGGTGCACATGGGCTCCAGTGTCCTGAAGGAACAAATGGCGTATTAACCAATCATTGATCACCGGCTACCATGTGACTGCATCTCCTTACGGTGCTCCACTGCCTTGTGGGTCAGACCTTTAGGTCAAAGGCTCGGGGTATGGCCCCCTAAGAAAACCATCTGTTTTGGTCTGGGCACCCGGGCAGTACCACAGCCCTCACACATATCAAATGAGATTTGTGTGGCGCATATGTATTTGGTGCCTCCTTGTACCAATATCTATGTGTTAAAATAACAAAATAAATGAACAAATGCAGGTAAGGACAGTCAATGAAGTAGAAGCCTCTGCATCAGTAAGCCCCAATATACACAAGGGAAAAACCATGATCCTCAACAAAGAGAGCACCAACTCGATAACACTTGATGGAGAAGCACTGGGAGAGGTGGAAACATTCACGTACCTGTGGAGCATCATCGATGAACGTGGTCTGATACAGACGTAAAGACAAGGATTAGAAAAGCAAAGACAGCATTCTTACAGTTGAATATATGGGACTCGAAGCTGCCAACCACATATAAGGTAACGGGTTTCGGATTTTAACGCGAGATTCACTTATCCATTTTGGATAAATAAAATTTTGGCATTATAGCTGATGTCAGTCAGTCAGCTACAACGTAGGACCAGGCACATTTATGCATCGGTCCAAGTTGCCATACCTCATTAACACAACAAGAATGGACAGCGGATTCACAAAAGTAGTTAATTCAGAGGTGGTAATATATAAAAGAAAGATTGCAATAAGGATATAGTACAGGAAGAAAGAATTAGTTCGTAGAAAGAAAGATATAAAGCAATTTTAATCTCTTAGTTTAAGGGAAGACAGGGAGTGTATACACCGACGCCGTTGTGATCGATTCTGAGCCATGTCACCAACCACTGGTTACGACACTCATACGGACCCCAACCAAGTAGTCTGCATCTACCAACATGGCTCAGACTAGAAGTTAGTGACTTCAAGCACTGATGCCACGTTTTGGTTTGGCCGCCCCTAACTTTCTTCCAACCATTTCCAATGCCGGTTAGCATTGCACGTCGTGGTAATCGGTGTTCAGGCATACGTAAAACGTGGCCCAACCATCTCAGTCGATGAGATGGTGTCAGTTCGTGATGAAAACCCTAAATCTAATTTATAACCTTATTCATCAAATGTAAATCATAATTCTAATTCCTCACACAGGTTTGTAATTCTTACCTGATCCTCGTTATGAGGTGGACACTCAAGGTCAACCTAGCGTCGCTAAAATGTCGTCCATAAATTATAGTCTCACCCTGTTAACCAATGACATAATCTTCAATACGAACTTTAGAAAAATGCTACTATATGAAGCTAAAACTTGGAGGACTACCACAACTATCATCAAAAGCAACAAGTATTTGTAAACAACTGTCTACGCAAGAAACTAGAAGTCTGTTGGTTGGACACTATCAGCAGCAACATACTATGGGTATGAAAAAACCGACTCCCATCTGAGCAGGAAACTAGGAAAAAGACGCCAGGGAAGATACTATATAGATTGAGGAAATCACCAAACTGGATCATGAATAAAGTTCTAACATGTAATCCTGAATGAAAGTAAAAAATGAAGACTAAGGAACATATTGCGTCGAGGAATCGGAGACGAGATTCATAGGAATGATTGCCACTTGTCAAAAACTGGAAGGTTAAACAAAGAACAGAGCTGATTGTAGAACTCTGTTTGGCGTCATATGCAGCACCACGACGGGTATCAGATGCAAGTCAGCAACTCGTTGAGCTTTTTAATCTAGTAATATACCACAAATAAAATACACATCCCAAGCAACCAATAAAGGCGAAAAAACGGAAATAAAGGGGACGAAAGCGTAAATAAAGGTGGAACGCCGCTTTTTCGCTTGCACGTCAGTTATTTAGGGGAATGGTCGAATTTTTCCCCTTACGTCGCGTATTTGGGGGATATTTGTCAACAATCATGTGTGTATATACACGCATAAGAAAAGCGCACAGGCTTGAAAGGCAAGTATGTTATTACTAATTGTTTTAAACTGTATTCACTAATACCTCTGTCGTGTTGAGATTGATAGAATAATTTTTGCACAAACGGTGAACGAGTCATATGAATATTTAGCATCTCACTTTCCTAGGCAGAACTAGGGAACTATTTGTTCTAGACTAAAAAAATCTAAAAAACTAAAATAGACATGTAAAAAAGTATTTCTCTATATATATTAATTAGTATACACAAAACACAACGCAACTGACCACCTATCGACAACAAGCTTCTTAGTCGAAAGTCGCAACAAATCCTGCTACTTGACCTACTCAAACACAACCAGGTGGTTCAATGTAAAATGAAATTATTAAATAACCCTTCACACACAAATAATGAAAAGTTGTTATTGTAATGTCAGCTAATTGAAACTCCTTGATTTCAAACAGTACTTTCAGATAAATCTCATAGAACTAAGAGTACTACAAGCCCTAAAGTTTTAGTTTCAGTTTAAAAAGGACAGGAGGCTAGATGGCCTGTGTTGGTCCTGGCAATAATGTTCCCTCGGTTTATCTAACTTCACTTCGAAAGAGTTGGCATATGAAGCTTCAATCACGTGTTGAGGTAATGAATTCCATCCGCTCATGGTTCGGCGGGAGGGTCGATAATCAGCTGACAAGTAATTTGTTTTGGGCTTGTGAATCTTTTCGAACTGTCCTCGTAAGCTCTATATTTCGGAAGGCAAAAAGAGTGATGGCATGTCAAATGCTAGTTATCATTAAGTAGCTCAGTGTTATTTATTATGTACATATCTGTACTTCGATGACCAATATGTATAACAAAACATCTAGTTGTATTTATAGGCAACTGCCAAGTTTGATATCATTCAGATAATTTCTCCAGGTCACTTTGAAGTTCTTAGCTGTCACCTTTGCTTCTTATCGCTCCTCATATCTTAACATCGTCAGCATATAGCAAGACCGATGGTGATAGGAGACGAGGAAGGTTATTTACAAACAAGAGTAATGACACTGACCCTAAAACTGTACCATGAAGCACTCGCTAGGCACAGTTTCCCGGCTAGACAACTTGGAGTTCATTCGTACTCTTTGTGAAAGCCCAAATAGTAAGTCTTTTATCTACAATAATAGGTTGCTTGCAACCCCGACAATGCTTAACTTAACCAACAACTGGTTACGAGTAACTTTGTCAAAAGCTTTCCTGAAGTCTATGAAAGCTGTGTACATGAGTAGCTTTAGATCTTTAGAAGCACACCAGCTTTCGCGAGTCACTAATAAGTTAGTCAGACAGAAATAAACTATTCTCACACCATAATGCTTTTCGGAACGATCGGGTTTTCTTCGAGACACTTAAAAAGCTCCTTGCGAATAATCATTTCTTAAAATTTAACAACCACGTTGATTAGGCCAACGGGTCGGTAATTCTCATACTTATGTTTCATATCTGTTTTAAGGACGGGAATTACAGCAACATTCTTCCAGTCTTTTGGCAATCGAAAGATTAAAACACATGCTTAAGGGGTTCGCAACGAAGTTAGCTAGTTCTTTCAGTAGCCTGGGATGCGGTTCATCTGGTACCCACAACAACTGGAATAAAAGTTAAAACTTGTTATGGCAAGAATAATTAACTTCGCGTCCTTTGAGATATATCTGCAAACAGATGTAGTGGTTTCTTGGTCATCGAGAAGTATATACCTGCTCAGTTTTGAAGTGCGAAAGCATTACTGAAAAATGGGAGAACTGACCGAATATTAGAAGCATAGAATAACTTCGTCCCAGTATATTCTGAAAGAAAATAAGTGTTGAGTCTCATTTCTAAATATCTGTTGTACTCAGGTGAAGGCCAACTGACTTCTTTTAGTCGCTTCTTGGGCCCGTGTGGTCGGACAGTAATTTAAAAGAGTAGTGGCAGTGATTTAGTTCCAGTAGTGTTTGGTTCCCCTAGACTGTTTATCTGGTACCCATAACCTTTGACAATTCTTTGTTATATAAGAATACGACGATATTCCTGAACTTAAATCACGATCATGAACCAATCCCAGACTAGAAGTCAGTGGTTTAGAGACCTCGCACTTTCAGTGAATATGGATAAAGATCAATTAAATGAAAGATGAAGGTACTGAACCATACCTTCTAAATATTATCGAAGTTGTACAACACTATAATAACCAGCTAACGGATAAATTTTCAGACATAATGTGTCACGAATTATGATAAGTCGAGCACATATTCACCTACATTGGCTACAAAGTAGAGACTGTAAGTGCTAAGTATGACGAACCAATTATTTATTCCTTCGGTGCAAGCAACCCTCCAATATCACTGAAGCTTGTTAATGAGGCACATAGGCAGCCGACCGATAATTCTTTCAAAAAGTCGTATAATTATCTATACTGACTCGTTTTATGTGACAGTCAGTAATTTAATGTCTAGCACTTCTGAATGCAGATTTGGGCTACGAAGAGAATAATATATTTGACTCGAGAAACGAGAGGTTACATAACGTGACTACACCCGGATATCCGAGCATTCCCACGCCGATAGTGTTTCTGCATTCACCATTTCTGACCTTCTCTATGGTGTTAAATGCTGACTCTAAATCTTCTCAATTATTATGGGTTCGAATTCAAGGATCGTGTGATTGAAAATCCATACCACTAGAAATTTTCCTCATCAGTTGCTCAAATTTTGGAACCAATGTTGACGATGCGTGCAATTACGACTGAAAAATTATGGGATGCCTTTCCCCTCATTCATCACAATGTCAACTTCACAAATAACCCATGTGCGCACCATGCATGATGGTGGGATTATATTTCAACTCCCATGACTTCTTTCACCTATCGGTCACTTCCCTACTGCCCAGTACAATAAATGACACGTAGTACCTGCTCAGAAAGAATCAACCAATTAAAATCTCCTGAGCACTCGTAACACTGAGTTTGTTTAGATAAATACATCTTTGTCACATTAAGCGGGATAATATCACAATCTCAAATATCAACACAGAACTTCCTACTGTCGTGTCATATCTAGACTTATTTTATACATATACACGCACCGAATTTCCAGCTACCATTCGTAATTCGTGCACTCAATCACGATTCATTTGTTTGAAACCATTTTTACTTACACAGTGTTCGGTACATATAATCCTTTACGATTACCTCTGTAACTAATACGAAAAAGTTTACAAATTACTGAACTTATGCAATCCCATGTATAGTACGAGAATAGAGACAACTTTCTAAGCAAAGGAACACTAGGTGCGGTAAAAATAGACTAAATTTCATAAGCAACAATAGGCTAATTTGTGGTAGTATTGGTTACTAACTCCATGATTCTCGAAGCTGAGCGTACAATCACCGAGAAGATTTACATTCTATATGTAACACCTTGAGGATGTCAACAGTGATGAACGCAGTAACAACTGATCAGCATGTCATGGCACGACCATGCAGGCGTGGTTACACTACAGAACCTATTGTTTTTCCATTGAATATACATCTACCTACACAGCAAAAACGTGCTTTTTATAAGTGCTGAACGCCATATTGCTGATTGGTACGATAGGGCTAGTCAGTGTAGATGGTGATGTGACTTCCATGTAATGTTGAAGTGACATTGGACCCTAACCATCGTAAATGATCCGTCCTTAGAGTCTTCTATGTGGAACCCTATCTTGTTTCTCACTAAAGTCGTTGCTGACAACATCTGCTGAATTTTCATCATCCCTTCAGTGTACGGGTGACACTCTGGCTGAGTGATTTCCTGAATATCGTAGTCAGTTAGATATAATTGTATGTCGTGACCTACCTCAGGATTTTAGAATGTAGCTCTTTCAGTACGGCTGCTTCTTCTGTATTTAGAGAGCCTAATATCTAAATTACATTGTCGTAGTCAAGTTCTTGGTAAGTAACCCATCCTATGTCACTGGTTCTGTGCCCAGTTCTTCGTCGAATGGAGGACCATGAGTGAATACCACCCTGAAGTAATCAACTATGGCTTCTACTTTCTCCCGGTATTACTCTGTTGAATTATGGTCTACTTCGTTATTAGTACTGCTCTGATGATAAAACTAATCTTAAGATTGTAGATTTGTCATGGTTTGACTGCCTAATCTTTAAGATCTTACTTGGACATGTTATACAGAATGGTCACGTCTGCGAGGCTGAGCTATGCCATCCGATTTAATGAATGAATATTCCCGCATTAATCTTCTCTTTGAGTCAACTGCCAAATATAAATTTTTTTACAAGTTATGTCCTCGGCTTCAAAGGTCATGTGGTTAGGGTCCAATGCCACCACAACTCCATCACTTGAAATGCAATCTTCAGTAATTGAACAGGGAATCCACGGATGTATTCTTATGATGTAATAAATATATGACTTCATTTTGTGATGATTGATTTTTGTGTCTCATCTATGGTACACTTATTGTGTCTTTATACTTATTCCGAAGTGCCTTGTAACGCTTATTTAAATTTTTTGCGCCAAGACTGATGATGGCTTTCCAGTCCTTTCTAAGTAAATGTCGAACATCTTGGTTATCCATGGATGGCTGCGTTTTTCTCCTTTGTGATTGCTCAGGGAATAAACGGTCAACAAATTTGGTTGTGTGATTGCTGGATGTAATTCCATTCCTCTCTCACTGGTTTGGCTACGTCGATTTTTCAGTCTTCAACTGAGGTGACAGCTGACTTTCTTCATGTATGCCATACATAACTTAGGATACACTAACACATTTGCTTAGAAAACTGTGGTAGGAACAAACGTGTGGTGGGTGACTAGGTGATCATTTCTCAAAGTCAGCGTCAAGTATTTTATTAACATGACCTCATACTCGTAAGCAAAGGGTGATCCATGGACGGAAGAAACCGTCATAAGTTGTAACTGGTTGGATTTTTAATGTTTTGGGCTGAAACTATGGAAATAACGGTTCCCAGAAGTTTGTAATAAAACGATGTTTTTGAAGATCTTGTCTCTAGGTTATTATGATGAGCGTGTGTTCTAGTTAATTACTATAAGGCTAACTTACATGTTTGACTAAGGCTAAGACTTACTTAGAACGAAACGACTTACCATAAGTTCAATTTGATGATACATTACAACTAAGTGGTTGTTTTACCTTTGTCTCTTATCCGACATCTCGTCGATATACAAATCCCCGAATAGTACATCACTTTTTGAACAGCTTGCATAATCAAGGAATTCTTTAATTACTAGTTAACGTCAACCTCCAACAGTTTATTCTACTGTTCAAAAATTAGAAAGCCGAAACACTGAATTTCGATGCCATCTGTTCTCGATGTTAGCTCGATTTTTGAAATCACGTTGATATTAGGCCTTTTGGTATTCACCTGACTTCTGACTTCTAATAAAAGGCAAGCACTTTGTATCTTTTAAGTGTTGATATCGCTATTTCTTATCCGTTTGATTGAAGTATCTTCTTCCACGGTTATAAACGTTTATCACAGTTCGGTCATTGATTTTAATTTAACCATAGACAATAGAAGCACCGGTAAGGGATCTGGCTGAGGATTAACCGCCAATTGTGGTACGTACTGTGGCGATGCAAAGGGTGATTTCAGAAAACATGCGCATAGCTCTCAGCAACTGTTTGCAATAAACTCAGTAGACCAGCTAGTACGTGATTGTTTTGCCCAATAAATATAAGTGCCGGGGACATGTTGAGTAACTTTTATCTCCTGACAAAAATATGAAAAAGCCGTCTGAACTGGTAGTTATCCCTCGTTTTATATGCATAGAAAGCCAGACTAGTTGTTGTAGTATATCTTTATTTAGATCGTGGAACAGAACAGCTGAAGCGCGGGGTTCTGATGTGAACTCAATATAGGATTATATGAAACAATGCGTGCACAAAATAAGTAAGTGAATAGATATTTGGGATATAATTATTCGACGTTACCAAGAGGTTGTCGGCTAACTCTTAACCACTCCAACTGAAGCTGTGACAAAGCGAAGAAGAGGATCTCTAGTAAAACTAGTGTTGGCGGGCCGGGCACCAACACCAGTGGAGATATATTCTGCATTGCAGCATTGCTATAACATCGACGCTGACTTTGATCATTATCAACGATTTGGTAGATAAAATTAGCTCAACGGCACTGATTTACGCAGACGACGCAAAGGCTTGGAGATTCATTAAAAGCGGAAGGGATGCACTAATGCTCCAAAGGTAGCCTACAATAGTGACGGAACGGGCGGTAGACAGTGGGTTGAAACTTGACCTGTCTGAATTTCATGTCATGAATATTCCGTCTCATTTGATACGATTCGCTGACGCCATCCATGGAAATTATGGGATTAAAAGAAGTTTTAAAATATAGTACAGAAAACGATATTCTGATCACAAACGGCTGTCTCCCATTTTCATGGTACCTATTTCAGCTCATTTTTATTTTTTCGCTTTTACAGGGTCATGGGCAGATTTCATTTTTGGCGTATTGTCTAGTTTTGCTTGCGATAACATTACTCGGTAGGAAGTGAAACCAATTCAACGTTACAAACACGAGTTAAAGAGGTATTTTGCGTAATAAAGCATCATCAATACCATAGCTTCGTGACACCCCACTTGATCATAATGAGTCGTAATTTAACAACATGTACAGCCCTACAGACATGAGTGAATTGATGTTATCTCCCCACTATCATATTTGCTGGTCAGTAACGCCACCCATTCTCCTATTGTAATATTAGGCTCTCTTACGTTTGTGGTGTGTATGAATATTGCTTTCACCTAAAATCTTTTCTGGAATACACTGTCTCGACTAGCTCCATGTTACAAGCAAA